TATATATATATATATATATATATATATATATATATATAGGAAAATAATATGTCTTGTAAATTGGGTTCTAAAGTAACTAAACCAGCCTATGTGGACTTTTGATGAAAAAAAAAGAATTATTTAAAGCCCTGGATACAACTGTGATAAACAATAGTGTAATGAAATTTTGTACATATGATTGAGTATATTATTTTATTACAAGTAGATTGAGTGCCATTTGTTTATTGTTGCAATTCATCACCAACAAGTCAGACACTTACTGTAAAGAATTCGGCCCCCATAAAACTGACTCTTTAAACAGAAACAACACGCCAAAGTGCTGCTCATTAGTTAATTTCTCCAATAACATAATGTTAACATTTTTCCGAAATATTTTCATTCATTTCAATGGAAAAATTAACATATCTGATATAATCGTAACAAAAATAATGCCTGACTTATTTCCCAAAATTAAATCTTTAGTTAGTAAGTTTTTTACATTATCATCTGCTTCTATATTTTGTTTTCTTTCATCTTAAACTATGAGAAAGAAAGATTATCATATATTTTTAAGAAACTGCAACATTTTAAACAAAACTTACAGATTCACATCCACGCTTCCATTCTGTATAGAATCAATGATAACTTTCACATGAGGAAGCAAATGGGAAAGCTGAGAAAATCCAGAGTTGCTTATAGGTAAACTACGAAGATTAGTAATTGTGTTCACCATCTTTGAAATGCCATCTAAGATGTTCCCAAGATCTGGACGTCCAAATTCAGTCATCAATCGAGAAAGCTGTTTATAAGGATATAAACATAAAATATATAACATTTCTCATAAAATCTAAAAATATTCAACAACATCAATACTTAAATTATGATCTCAAATCTAGAACACAATAACACTATACAATGAATAATATGCTACAAGTTATAATGCAATACAGTATTTTAATGTATCTTAAGATATGGAATACACAGCAATAAGCATTCCACATCTTGTTCAATGTAAGTTATTAGGAAAAAAAGATTTGAAAAGATTAGCACACAGGGTCTTGTACATCTATCCAGTAAAAATAAATTGTGATATGCTGTTAAATGTTAAAATACGAGGATCACCTGTGTCTTGATATAAAAGACATAGATGTCATTGACTGATTTGTTTTTGTGAGTGAATAATTTATTATAGTTTAGTTTTTGTTACAATAAGAATTAAAAGCAGACAGACAATAGCAGAAGAAAGTAAAGTTACAAAAGGAAAAGTTTGGCAGGAAGTTAACTACCGTAGAAGTGATATGCATAACGATTGACATAGGACTAACGTTTAATATGTTAGAGTAAGACTAACAGTAGAAATGAAAATGAGAAAAATAATTTATTCCGTAAAAGCATGGTTCTAAAGTAATTGAATCAGCCTGAATGTACTTTGACAAAATTAACAGAGGATCTTCAGAAGAAAGAAGACATAATAATTATGGTAACTCATGGCACAATTGTAAGTGAATCATACACAGAATTCTAGCACGATAGTAATAGAGAAGATAGTTCGGCTTGTCGACTGAAATTTTAAACTTAATTTAATAGGCCTAAGTGGACTTTTGACAAGGAGAGAACCACATATATAGTGTTTATGATATGCCTACATCTATAGTGTGAAGATCATCTTGCACATACATTTAACTTGTTACGAATATATATATTATTTGAAAACAAGTGAAGTGCGTGCTGTTTATTCATCGTTGCATTTATCGCTAACAAGTCACAGACACCTACTGTAGAATAATCCTAAGCCCAACAAGATAGTATATGTTTATACTATTAAGAAATATAAGTAAAAGCCTTTTTATTCTGAAAATTGGCAAAAAGAAGAACATATATTTTAAAATTCTGACAACCTGTTTAGTTTCAGATTTTAAAAGAATTTATTAAATCAACTGAATATGAATAAAAAAGATCTATTTCCTACTTATGGCTCTTTACACCACAGTCCCCATAGTCTCCTTTTAAACACCCCCTCCCCCCCCAAAAAAAAGCTTGCTTTATAATGCTTTAAAAGTGTCCTTTTTTGTCAATGAGCCCCTGCCCTTTTAATGTCATCTGCACATTACTGCCCATAATTACTTGTTTGAATTATTATAACCAGACAATCTAAGTCAGAGAATTATCATAATTAATTTGGCATTCAGTTAATAGATGTTTGTTTTCAATTTAAATAAAAAAATTAACGAGAATAAAAAGTATTTTCTCATGTAAATGTTCACATAAGATAACAGTTATTACGTAGTCTTTTCTACCAAAGTTCTCTTTAGTGGCTAATAAACACAGAAGTTTACATACACACAGCTGTTTGTACAGATTTTTCTTACCTATATTCTCTAGTGTCTTACATGAACAGCATGTGAGGTTACTTTGTGCGGATATAAATGTATAGATGGCAGGAGAACCATAAAACATACAACTTAGCAGTTGGTACAGTCATATAATATATATATATATATATATAAAAATATGTGGAACATACACACAAACACACACAAAAAAAGACAACTGCACTCACCATCCCAACAATATGACTGCCATCCAATTCACTCTGAAATTTCTGTAAAAGATCTGTAGCATTCTCTCCTTTTATGTTGCAAAGAACTTGTGAAATTTGCTCCAAACTCGACAATTTATCAACTTGAAGGTACTGACCAAGCTGATCAGTGGAGCACATAATGTCTGTCACTGTGTTAGCTGAACCTAACAAGTGTAGAACCTGAAATAAATTACCTAGATAAGTACTTGATTATTTTATGTTGATCTAAAAAAGTATGCACCATATTAATGAAACTTCTTTAAAAATTCGTCAACTTAAAATGCACAAAAAATTATCTTGAGGAAAAAAAAACACCTTAGTTTTCAATCTTTTCCATAAATACCATATTAATGAACAATAAACTGACAAGAATAATAAAACTTCTTTCAAAAACTCAGCTGTAACATTTCTCTAACAAGCAACCAGTCACTTAAAACGATTTTAATAAACTAGATAATAATAAAAATAATAGATGATTTTTTTATTTCTTGCATATCTGATCTTAACAGTTAATTCTAAAAATATTCAAACAATAACTTGCTAGATAGCTAACAATTATCATTTATATAGCTTGTTTAAACACCCAACAACATTTATTACACACTAATACTACTTAAAGCTTCAATAACGAACAATAAGTTAATATATTAATATTCAAATAAGAAAAAATTGGGAAGTTTAAAGAACAATGGTTTTAAAGGAGGTTAAGTATTGGACATGTGATCCACTTGCTACTGTTTTTTTTGTAAGTCCTTGAATAGTGAGCGAGCGACAGAATTGGAAGTTGGCTAATGTTACTTCACTTTTTGGGAAGGTTCTAGATTATTTGGAAAAAGATAAGACTAGTAAGGCAAAATTCCCCTTTTTTGAATCCTTGTTGCAATTTTCAATGGGTTCCAGCAATTTTGGGAATACATGGACCAGTCCAGTTATGAAACTACAGCTGACCATGATGAAGTAGCAGAAGCTATAGAGGAAGTCAAGGACAGTGTCATAGAGTTTCCTACAAGACAATTTCAGGTCAGCCAACCAACAGATGACTATTAATAGCTTCTTGAACTATCCATAACCATACTTGATATACTAAGATTTTCAAAAAGTTTTGATAAGTTCCCAAACAAAAGATTAGTTGCTGGGGAAAGAATTGTTCATTGGTTCGTAAACTTGTTGGATGGGAGGAAGCACAACATTGTTATAAACAAGTATAATATAAAAACATATATATATAATTTTATAAAGACAAGTAGGGATCAATATTTATGTAACCTAGTTAGTTATAGTAATATAGAAAGTTTTAATGCTACAGGAGTTATTGAAACAAGAAAGTCAAAACTACAAAAACTAAGTTACTTAGAATTTTTAAAAAATTATCCCTACTTTGGCTCAGACTAACATAATTACACTGATTTGTCAAAGCAGGAATAACATTTTTTAAATCTTAAGTAACTCAGTTTTTGTAGTTTTGACTTTCTTGTTTCAATACTTTCTTTAGCATTAAAACTTTCTATGTTATTATAGCTAGCTACGTTACATATGCATCAATCCCTAATTGTCTTTATAAAACTTAAATACTTTTTATTA